GGTTAGACTGAGAGGCAGTGACTGGCCCACCATCACCCATGGCTGAGTGGAGATTTGAAAGCTGGTCTCCCAGGTCCCATTCCAGCAATCTATTGCCATCCCACCACATTGGCTCTCTAGGACTCCTGTATGTTTTAATTGGTTTTTCATTCTTCTAAATCTAAACAGATCAAGCATGTGCAGAATGGAATAAGAGCAAACATTTCAGAATGAACGACATAATGATCATCATTCCCTCAGAGAATGAATTCAGGTGGTATGTGCTGGGTGGATTAGAGGCAAAATGGGGCCACCAAAAAATGGGAAGAAGGTATTAACCCCAAAATTTGCAGATGTAAACTTAAAAAGTTTTAAAACAAACCTATGGGGCAAAAAAAAAAGCTCTATGAGAAATGAGCATGCTCAATAGCTGTGAAAGATTGAGTGCCAATTTGATTAGGGAAATGGAAATGCAGAATGGGAGCGGTAGTGGAATAACCTGCTTGAAGGGAATGAATAGTCTGCACCCTTTAATGAAGACTGTAACATTTTATTTTATTTTTGAAGGTTGAGCCCATTTGGAAAGTTGCACCTGTTAAATTTGAATCTTAAAGTACAAAAGTTGCTATTTTGGTGTGCAAGCTTTGGAATTACACAGGGTTGTTCATAACGCAGAAATGAAAAATGAATTATTCTCAGCAATACAGTTACTCCCCAAGATTACTTACCACTGCCAATTTTAGGTCTCTTGCAGGTAGCATCTAAGAGCACTTTTCTGTATTGTTGGGATGTCAGTAGGATCTAAGAATATAATTCCTGATGTATATTAAATTCCATGTTGTTCAAAATAACAGTTTGGATTAATTTTGCCCAAGGCAGAAATGGCACCAGCAAGTTTGGTCTTCTAACAAATTTGTTTAGCTAAATTTGCAATGCACCATGATTTAAAAAACAAAAAAAAAACAATGGATACTAAAAGTCAACCCTAGACAGGTAAAATAAATAACAGAAATCTCAAGACTTCCAACTTGGTTCTAAAAGAACAGGTCCGCATTTTAAATGAAAAATACAGTTATGATTACCTTCCGATTTGCCATCAGTCATGCCAGCTATCCCATGCAGAAGAGAGAAGTTGAATGTCAAACCTTTTTCTGTTTGCTTTCCACCAAACATGTCATTACAGAGGTGACTCAGGGCAAAGAGTAAAACTGGAGACTTTCGCTAAATCTCTATTTAGCTGAAGTCAGTCCCACTTATGTGTCTTGGTTTAAACTGGCCATTACCGCCTTAAAATATTCATTACGATTCTATTATGAGCCATGACTCGTGTAGGCCAATTCTAAGCATGTCTATGCAGAAGTACAACTCAGCGAATTCAGTGGAACTTATAACATCAGTCAAATCACTGTCTACCTGAAGTTAATCAGGTCTCGGTTTGGTCAGTGCTACCCAGATGAGAGACAACTTGCATGCTGCCATGTTTTCTAGGATGGAAGAAAGGTTGGATATACATGTAAGAAAAAATACAATAATGCTGCTACCAGATGAATTTTGGGGTATCTTCCCCCTCTCCCAAATTCCAGGTGGAACAGTTGCATCAAAAAATCTAGGCGTTCTTCTGGATGAGGGGAAAAAAGAAAAACTCACATGGGATAATGTGTAACTTGGCTTCTACAAATCACCCAGTCTCTTCCGGGGTGAAATTAATCAAGGAGCATGTTGGGCAATACAGTGGTACCTCAGAAATTGAACGGAATCCATTCCAGGAGTCCATTTGACTTCCAAAACTTTCAGAAACCAAGGTCTCTTGGAAGTCGCGTCGGACATTCAGGTTCCAAAGAACATTCGCAAACCGGAACACTCACTCCTTTTTTCTGCTACAATTTTCAAGAGGGAACCATTATTAAAATTCTCCCTAGGATAAACACTAGGAAAAAGCAATGAAGTTTCTACAAGAAGCAGAGACAGAGAGCTATCCCCCTTCTTCCTTTTGACCCAGTGAATATGAGGAAATAAAGAGTTGTGACAAGGAGGAGGGAAAATATCACAAGTTTTTGTTTGAGAATTATTTCCCGTTGACTCCAGGTATGATACATGAATTTAAATGCGCTGGATGCTGCTCTTAGAGTTTAATGAGCTAAAGAATCAATAGTCAAATTAGGTAAATATATTAATACCAAATTCAAATTTCAACTCTTATGAAATCTTAAAAATACAAGAGCCTTTACCACTTAGCTGAAGAGGATCTTAAATAATAAACAGTATGATTCAGAGAGTCATGTAAACCTCATTGCTGCAATATGAATGAATGATGGGAAGATTTTCTGATTTTCTTCTTCTTCAATCTGGATAGAGCAAACACTGAACATGACAGAACATCAAACACACTGAAAAATCTTGTAAACAGGTCTTATGTAGGGGCAAGCACCAAACAAAAAGCAGTCCAAGAAAATGTGCAGGTGAGAGATATGAGAAGTGTAAGAGATTTGGTTCTACAAAATCATGGCACACAGGGAAATGAATACTGCGGATAATTCAAGTCCTTTAGTATTTCTTATCTTACTTCAGAATGATGAAAGTTAAAACTAGCAATGGCAACAATGGGGTTTTGGACAAAATAAAAGAAAGCCGCTAGAAAGTGGCGCAACCCAAAATTGAGCAGGAAAAAGGAGTTTGCTATAAGGTCTGCATTATACACATAAAGCATCATCATATCACTTTAAGCAATCATGGCTTCCTTCAAGGACTCCTGAGAATTGCAGTTTGTTAATGGCATAAACATTGTTGGGGAACCATTTTAACAATCAATCCCTCTTCCCAGGGAATTCTGGGAATTGTAGTTCTGTGAGGGGAATAGGGGTCTCCTGAGAATGTTCAGCTCCCTTAACAAGCTACAGTTCCCATGATGCTTTGGAGGAAGCCATGACTGTTAAAGTGGTATAAGAGTGATTTAAAGACATGGTGCAAATGGGGCCATGGAATATAGAACTTGAACTTTAAAGAGAGCATATAACTGAAAAAATTCCCACAGAATTGATGCCCATTCTCAAGAACAGAGGAATGCCACCTTATTCCATAAGTCCTTTTAGATCTGATGAAGAATGTACTTCCTTATTTTGCTGCAGTAGACACCTTTAATATTAACCCACAATGTGAATCTTGCATTGTTCTTATGGGGGGGGGGAGTTGTCATGAATCAAGGGTAGCCAATTTGATACCCTACAGATGTTGCTGGACTGAAATGCAACTTCTGTCATCCCTGAGCATTGGCCATGCTGGCTGGGGACTGTGTCAGAATCACATTGTCTATGTCTGGCATAAATGAAATTTCTCCTTGCAGGCAAAAATGGGATGTGCTGGTTTTTATGTTGGGTAGAACATTTCTCTGATGCCATTTTTCATGTTCTGAGCTATGTTGAGCAGAGTACCGTATTTTTCGCTCTATAAGACGTACCAGACCACAAGACGCACCTAGTTTTTGGAGGACGAAAACAAGAAAAAAAATATTCTGAATCTCAGAAGCCAGAACAGCAAGAGGGATTGCTGCGCAGTGAAAGCAGCGATCCCTCTTGCTGTTCTGGCTTCTGGGATAGTGGCGCAGCCTGCATTCACTCCATAAGACGCACACACATTTCCCCTTACTTTTTAGGAGGGAAAAAGTGAGTCTTATAGAGCAAAAAATACGGTATTTGGCATATCGAATGGTTGACGTTTCTAGGAAGCCAAGAAGCTAAGTGTTGTTTATGCCTTGCATTGAGGAGTGACAGCAACCTCTGTGCCATCAATAAGGCAGTAAATGAGCTCTGGTTTGTTACCTGAGTGGAGACAGATATATGAGATAGATAATTCAGGAACTTTACAACGGAATTAGTGTTAGTGTTACATGCAAACCAGATCAACACATCATTGATCAAGGCTTGTGTTTTCTTATAAAGGTGATGTTACTTTAAAAACGATGACACACCACGGATGCACATTTCAATGATGATACTACATGTAATTTTGAGACCTCCAGGTACACGGTGGTATATAAATTCAATAAAAATTAATAATAAGTGTATCCTGAAGGCACAAACGAGATAACCTGGGGTACCAGCTCTTCTGCTAAGACATATAAAACAATTATCCACCAAGCAACATAGGAACTACCTTATACCAAGTCCATCGACCTCAGTATTGACCGGCAGTAGTCCTAACTGGGGATACTGGTGTCTGCGTTCCTTTACTGCTGAGCTATATCCCTTTGGTAGGACAATCTCAAGCCCTCTGAGAACAGGTGAACTATCACTAATTTTGCATAGCAGCTGAGATACATAAGCTTTGCAGGTAGAAAGTTTTTTAAAAGGACTTTCTTAACAGATCTTTGGAAGATTTTGGTATCTCAACGTGAGAAATAGCTTCAGCCTGTTCTCACAGAATCTGAGAGGATTATCTTCCTGGACCCAGTATAGCAGAGCTTTCCAAACCGTATGTTGCGACACGTCATCGTGTCGGCTGCAGTGTGTAGTTGTGTCGTGCAAACACTCCCTGTGCTCCTCCCAGGGCTGGAAAGAGGTTAGTTTAACCCCTGGTTTGCTAATAAAGCTGAATTACGGTGTCATGAAATGATGCATATCTAAAAAGCATGTCACCATATGCATAGCCCTAAACATTTTGTGAATCTTTGCACTTTTGTCCATTTTCTGTATTTATTTTCCCTGGTCTGACCTATAAAATGGTGGTTTTCTTGAGTCAAAATGAGAGTACCCCTAAACATTTTTTTAGAAAAGCATTGGTCACCAGCATGAAAAGTTCGGAGAGTTCTGCAGTATAGTATTCACTCAAGACTATTCCACAGTTCTGTTAATTGTATGGGATACGCAACTTGCTGATTTTAGAGTAAATGGATTTATGAATATACTTGGGTTCTTGGGTAATTTGCTTTGTATTGGGGAATTCATCCGTCAATAAACGTCTGCCTGCTTTTGATTAAAATCTGACTAACACTCCACAGTAAGAGTTTGGTAATGAAATATTGAATATTAGACTGAATTAGGTTTGCACCGCTTTTTGTGGTGAGTAGGCAGTTCACAAAATAACCCCATCCACCCTTGGTAACACTGACAGATGAATTTCTCTTTCATGACCTCCATGTCCTCCTGCTTCAGATTTCCTTGTACAACTACTCTTCTCTCCGTTTCAGAGATATTGAGCCAAATCTTAAAACTGTCAGGAGACAAGTGCAGGTAGGCATCTGATTCACTGTTTTTACGAATGCATCTTCCATTCTTCTTACAGAGAACTTTGCTGCAGAGCTTGGCCGCAGAGGTCACATTCATGATGTAATGTCCCAAGAGACCATCGACGTACTTTTTCACAGTTAAACAGCTGTCCTAAAAGAAAACAAAGACAGAGCAATCCTATAGATGTCTTCTCAGAAATAGGTCACACTGAGTGCAATGGATCTTATTCCCAGGTAAGTGGAACTATAGGATTCCACCTCTAAGCAGTTGGCACTACAGTCAAACCTTGGTTCCTGAACGCTTCCATTATCATACTTTTTGGCTCCCGAAAGCCAAAAACACAGAAGTAAGTGTTTCGGTTTTCGAACGTCTTTTGGAACCTGAACATTGACATGGCTTCCACCGAGTGCAAAAAGCTCTTGCAACCAATGGGAAGCCGTGCCTCAGTTTTCAAATGTTTCAAAAGTCAAACGGGCTTCCAGAACAGATTTCGTTCGAAAACCAAGGTACCACTGTATTGTCTAAATGACTAGCGCAGATATTTGTTCAGGGGGATGTGAAATGGGTTCAGTCATGAGTGATTATGAAAGTTCTTTGAATCACAAAAATCTCAGCTTTGTTTGTTTATTCCTAAATTTCTGGAGTACAGAGGACAATGACAAAATGTGTGGGTAAGGAAAGTGTTTGGTCTGATTTTTGCAAATCCCAGTACCAGGTTCTCCCCATCCTCCAGTCTCTTATAGGCAAGTAGTAACTTCCTCTTTGCTTCCCCATTCAAAGTCTAGCATAAATAGGTTTGGTAGATCACAGATTTTTGAAGCCAAAATCGCACATGCACAAAATGAGTACATTCATTAGAATATCTCTATTAAAAAACGGTAAAGGGACCCCTCACCGTTAGGTCCAGTCGTGGCCGACTCTGGGGTTGCGGCGCTCATCTCGCTTTATTGGCCGAGGGACCTGGCATACAGCTTCCGGGTCATGTGGCCAGCATGACTAAGCTGCTTCTGGCAAACCAGAGCAGCGCACGGAAGTGCCGTTTACCTTCCTGCTGGAGTGGTACCTATTTATCTACTTGCACTTTGAAGTGCTTTCAAACTGCTAGGTTGGCAGGAGCAGGGACCGAACAATGGGAGCTCACCCCATCACGGGGATTTGAACCGCCGACCTTCTGATTGGCAAGTCCTAGGCTCTGTGGTTTAACCCACAGCGCCACCCGCGTCCCTAGAATATCTCTATTACATTCTACCAAAAAATTAAAATTTGGGTTTGAGTTCTTCAGCACAAAATGTTGCACAGCCCGTGCATTCTACATTTGACACCCCAAGTGTTGCTATAGGCTGGATCTAGACACATCAGGAAAGCGTTTCAGGAAAACGTGTTGTAAACCTCAAAGTGGGAAATCACATTGGTGAAAGACGGAACTCTACAGTGCCACCTGGCATCACAGTGTTATAACACATATAAAACACTTTTTCTTTACTATTCTTCCAAATGCATGGTTTCTTTACTATTCTTCCAAATGAATACCGTATTCTTCCAAATGCATGCATACAACAACCACATGCAAATCTCTAGGTTTACCTCTCAGTCAGATGAGCCACCGAGCTTGTCCTGTTCAGATGTATTCTAAATTTGATGTGTGAGTGTGCCTTACCCACTTACAGAAGAATGGCTGATAAAATTATTGGACTTAGCTGAGATGGCTAAACCAACATGCTTAATTAAAGGAAAATCCATTAATAACATTTGTTAAGGATTGGAAATTTCTTATGGATTTTTGCATAAAAGAGAAAATGAACTTGTAATATCTGGATTTGAAGGTTGAAAAAATACTAGCTTATAGAAGATAGAATGGTTGCGTTCTAAAGAATGAATGTTATATGTAGCTGCAGAGAGCAGAAATCCTTTTATTCTACTCTTTCTTTATTTCTTTCCCCCTTACTTTTCCTTCTTTTTTGTTTTCTCCTTCTTTAGATTTCTCATTTTCTTGTATTTTCTTTGCTCTTTTTTTTAGGTTAATTAGTCATTTTATCTCAGTATATTATAAAAAGGTACTTTGTAATGGGTTTGTATTTCTGTGTATCTTTGGATCAGTACCAACAAATAAAATAAAATAAATTTGATTTGGGGATTTGTGTGAGCTACCAGGGGTCAGCAAACTTTTTCAGGAGGGCCGGTCCACTGTCCCTCAAACCTCGTGGGGGACCAAACTATATTTTGGAAGGGAAAAAATGAACAAATTCCTATGCCCCACAAATAACCCAGAGATGCATTTTAAATAAAAGTACACATTCTACTCATGCAAAAAAGTACACATTCTACTCATGTTGATTCCTGGTCCGTCCACGGGCCGGATTGAGGAGGCGATTGGGCCGGATCTGGCCCCCAGGCCTTAGTTTGCCTACCCATGAGCTAAACCATTGGAGATCTTTTTCCTGGGAAGGCCAATCTTGGAATGCATATTGCCATTCCCAGATCTGTGGGCCATAGAAATAGCAAGAATCTGCTATCTTTGCTGCCATCTTTTGGGGATTGGGGGTATGTTTAGGAGGAGGGGGTGTCCCAAGAATTCCTGCAAAACTTAGCTCATTTTCTTAACCCAAATTCACTTACATTAGAACTGGCATACTGCATGCTTCCCCACAGGACAACTCCTGCTGCCCCCAAGGCTGCACTCTCACCAATAGTGTTCACCAAGTCTTCCTGAAAAGTAAGCCACGGATACGCATAATATAATAGGTCTGCCATATTTTGACGAGCAAAGAAGAGTATGCGGTGACGGCTCTCATTCTAAATACCCCTACGACATGTAAGCTATAGTGAAAGGGTAAAGGGACCCCTGACCATTAGGTCCAGTCGTGACCGACTCTGGGGTTGCGGCGCTCATCTCACTTTATTGGCTGAGGGAGCCAGCGTACAGCTTCATGTGGTCATGTGGCTAGCATGACTAAGCCGCTTCTGGTGAACCAGAGTAGCACACGGAAATGCTGTTTACCTTCCCGCAGGAGTGGTACCTATTTATCTACTTGCACTTTGACGTGCTTTCGACCTGCTAGGTTGGCAGGAGCAGGGACCAAGCAATGGGAGCTCACACCGTCATGGGGATTTGAACCACTGACCTTCTGATCGGCAAGTCCTAGGCTCTGTGGTTTAACCCACAGTGCCACCCACGTCCCTATAGTAGCTGTGATATATTGCTGAGGGAGTCAGGAAAAAAGAAGAGGAAAGCAAGTCTTCAGCCACCCATTATGTCTACGTCTCATCCAGAAAGTATAGCCAGAGACATTTTGGCAAAAAAAAAAAATCCACCCAGACAGAAATTTCACCCCTGAAAAAGAGGACATGTCCTGGAAAACGAGGACACATGGCAACCCTAATAGAACATGATGCACAGTCAAAGCATCATTGCCCATTTTGTATCCACCCATTTTTTAAGGGGGGGTGGGGGGTCACCTCTTGTGAAACAAGTTTGGATGGTTTTTGAAACACTACAATAATACTCTGTAGCGCCTGTTTGCCAGAGATCTCAGTGAGTTGAATGCACACACCATAGGCAATAATACCTCTCTCGCACCACTATCAACTCTCTTTTTAAAAAAATAAGCAAACACTGTCTGCAGTAAAAGCAATGGTGGCGGTTTCAAGAGACACCCAAATGATCAGGTTAGAGCACAGTAAACATATAACCTTTGAAGCAAAGTGAACCATCTATTAAACTCAAAAGTTCTGAATCCAGAAAGCTATACCCACCAGCCCCTGACAACTATATAATTCAGCACTGATCCTGTGATATCCCATCCCTGTACCAACCCTGAATTACAGATGACATAAAGTGTCCTGCTTTGAGAGGTTCTGTACACACCATACATTTGAAGTAGATTGCTGCCCTCAAAGAATCCTGGGAACTGTAAATTTATCTCTTAGGTAAAGGTAAAGGGACCCCTGACCATTAGGTCCAGTCGTGACCGACTCTGGGGTTGCGGCGCTCATCTCGCTTTATTGGCCGAGGGAGCCAGCGTACAGCTTCCGGGTCATGTGGCCACCATGACCAAGCTGCTTCTGGCAAACCAGAGCAGCGCACAGAAATGTTGTTTACCTTCCCGCAGGAGCGGTACCTATTTATCTACTTGCACTTTGATGTGCTTTCGAACTGCTAGGTTGGCAGAAGCAGGGACCAAGCAACGGGAGCTCACCCCGTCGCAGGGATTCAAACAGCCGACCTTCTGATCAGCAAGTCCTAGGCTCTGTGGTTTAACCCACAGGACCACCCACATCCCTAGTTTATCTCCTATGGAGCTCCAATTTCTACCACCCTTATAATAAACTAGAGTTCCCCAGATTTTTAAGAGGAAGTTGTGTGCTTTAAGCGTATGGTGTGTACACAGCTTGAATACAGAACTGAAATGTAGGGAATTTTGTATCCACCAGAACTGCCTTGGATATATACAAGTAATAGAAAGTTTAGACAACATAGCCCTGATCACTTGCTCCACCTGCCTCCTCCTACATGTAGACAGAGAGAAAGGGGCTTTTCATGCTAACTTCACCCCCCAACACCTCCATCAGCTTCTGTGTCAAACCTATGTGGGAAGTCTAAAGTGGAAATCTCTGCATAATCGGGTGAACATACTCCCAGAACCAACATTGGAAACCCAGGTGGATGCAGCCACAGCTATTGCCATCTATGGCTGGTTTGCCAACTGAAATCCTTCCTGGAGTTGCCTAGCCATGATGGTCTACACCCTAGTGGTCCATGCAACGGTCACCTCCAGGCTTGACTACTGTAATTCGCTCTACGCGGGGCTACCCTTGAAGCTGTCCCAGAAACTCCAGCGGGTGCAGAATGCTGCAGCGAGACTCCTCACGGGGTCTCTGCCATGGGAGCATATTCACCCAGTGCTTTTCCAGCTGCACTGGCTCCCAGTGGAGTACAGGTTCAGGTTTAAGGTGCTGTTTTTGACCTTTAAAGCCCTTCATGGCCTAGGACCCTTGTACCTACGGGACCGCCTCTCCCGGTATGCCCCACGGAGAGCCTCAAGGTCCATAAATAGCAACACCCTAGTGGTCCTGGGCCCTAAGGAAGTTAGATTGGCTTCAACCAGAGCCAGGGCCTTTTCAACACTGGCTCCGACCTGGTGGAACACTCTGCCTCATGAGACCAGGGCCCTGCAGGATCTGATTTCTTTCCGCAGGGCCTGTAAGACAGAGTTGTTCCGCCTGGCCTTTGGTTTGGAGCCAATTTGATTCCCTCCCCCTCTTTCTTTTTTCTTTTTCCTTTCTCCTCCTGTGATGAGGCTGCATGTTAATATTTTAAAGTTTCAATATTTTAATGTTGTATTTTAATCTTGTTTTTAAGTTGTATTCATTCAACTTGTTTTTATTATTGCTTGTTAGCCGCCCTGAGCCCAGCCTTGGCTGGGGAGGGCGGGGTATAAATAAAAATTAGTAGTAGTAGTAGTAGTAGTAGTAACTTCTTTACTTCCTAGAATTGTCGTACCTTGGTTCTCGAACGGAATCCGTTCCAGAAGTCCGCTCAACTTCCAAAAATGTTCGAAAACCAAGGTGTGGCTTCCGATTGGCTTCCGGAGCTTCCTGCACTCAATCAGAAGCCGCAGCAGCTGCGTCGGACATTCGGTTTCCGAAAAACGTTTGCAACCCGGAACACTCACATTTGGAAGCCAAAATGTTCAAGTCGCTAGGCTTTCGAAAAGCAAGGTACAACTGTAACGTGCTTTACATAAGGCTGCTCTTGAAGATGGTCTGGAAACTACATGTTCTGCAGGTTCTGAGTGAAAATGGAAATATATATTGCCAGTTCTTTTTTAAAAAAAAACTGCTGAGAAGGGGAAAGCTTGTTTTTCCAAATTTTCATTCCCGCATGAAAATGTTTCTGTTCTGTCGAGCATCTGTGGAGGGATGAGATCGGTACTGTTTGCAATCATTGTATATTTGATTTTAGACTTTTTATGGTTTTAGTATTTTTTATTTCATTAACTGTTGTGCACTCCCCAAGATGCGACACAGCCTGGAAACATTTTAATAAAAATATGTTTTTAATTCTTTGCTTTCAATCGTCCTTACGTGCACATTTATGATGAATATTTTCTTTCTGCATTGGTTAATGAGCTATTTTTATGTTGTATTGTATTTTATGGTGCTGATTACTAATTACTGCTGAGTTTCAGTACTAGCTGAATCAGTGGTGTGCTTTTCTGTTTGTTTGTTTTATCTGGTCTTGTCATTTTAACTGCTTCTGGCAATTTCACTCTGGCCTTTGTAATTCAGCAGGTGACCACAGTCAACCTGTGATGTTTCTTTGACCCCAGAGAGCAAATAAAGCTGATGTATTATACACTGCATTTAACTGGATGCAGCTTCTGAGGCCTTGTTCTCACTGAGGTGATAGAAATCACACACCGTTCTCCCCTCACATTCTCATACACCTCACACCAGCCTCTGTTTGTTGCCAGCCCTGTATTTTTCCTCACACCGGCCAACACAGAAAATAGAGTGGACTGCGAAAATGCAGCGCTATACATTACTTTACAAAGAATGCACATGATTGTATAAAAATAGTTCAATCTATCACTGCGTAATTATTCTGGTTACAGTGGTAACAAACGTTTTGGGTTACAAACACTTCGGGTTACAAACTCTGCTAACCCGGAAGTAGTACCTTAGCTTGCAAACTTTGCCCCAGGACGAGAACGGAAATTGCATGCCGGCGGTGCGGTGGCAGTGGGAGGCCCCCGCTAGTGAAAGTGCGCCTCAGGTTAAGAATGGTTCGGATTAAGAATGGACCTCCAGAACGAATTAAGTTCATAACCTGAGGTTCCACTGTATTTTAGATCAGTGCTTTTACATGAGACATTTAACCGTTTGCCAGTCAAGCTGAGGTATATACATAAGCACCTTCCAATGGGGCACAGGTAACTTTAGTGAATTTTTGAGAGGAATGGGATTAACATGCCTGCCAGCCACAGTTCCCTGACGTTACACGTACCGTCAAGAACCCAGGTTCAGTCAGGATTCCCAACAGCATGAAGATGTACCCACATAAAACCCCATCCTCACAGATGCTAAATGCAGAAACTTTGAGGCATGGTCACCAGCGAGTGCTTTGACAGGTGAGTCCCACTCCCCTCTCAATGAAGCCTTGGGGATAGGCTTAACATGCATTTCCCTAAAATTAGGATGGGAAACTTATATGTTGTTGGACTCCAGTTCCCATCAAGTCCAGTCCATGTGGCCAATGGTCCGGAATGATGGGAGTTGCAGGTATCTGTTGGGAATGTAAAGAAGCAGAAGGAGCATTTCATCATATGTGCTGGTCGTGCAGAACAGTTAAGGACTACAGTCGTACCTTGAAAGTCGAACGAAATCTGTTCCAGAAGTCCTTTCGACGTCCAAAAATATTCAGAAACCAAAGCGTGGCTTCTGATTGGCTGCAGGAAGCTCCTGCAACCAATCAGAAGCCCCGTCGGACATTCGGCTTCCAAAAATAGTTTGCAAACCGAACTATTGTGGCGTTCTGGAGCCGAAACGTTCAAGGACTAAGCTGTTTGAAAACCAAGGTATGACTGTATTGGGAAATGATTTATAATGAAATGAAAAAATTGTTTAAAAGAACATCCCCCCCAAAAAGCCTAGAGGCATTTCTTTTGGGTATGGTACAGACAGGGGGCAGAAAAAGCTATTTCTGTATGCAACGACAGCAGCTTGGATTATGTTAGCTCAGAAATGGAAGGTGGGAAAAGGTCCAGAGAAGGAGGAACAACTGAAAATGATGGAATGTGCAGAGCTAGCAGACCTAACCAGCAAGGTAAGAGAACAATAAGAATGGGTGTATAAAGAGGAATGGAGAATATTTGTGGAGTATTTGGAAAACAACTGTAAGCAAGTGAAAATTGTAAATTCAACAGTATAATGTAGATTAAGATATAATGGAAAGGGGGAAACTAGATGGAGGAAACAGAATATGCAGTTAATTTTGGAAGTCTAAGGAACCATGGAAGGAGAAGAAGGGAAGTCATTCAATGTATTGCTGTATATTTAATTGTGGGAAATGTATACCTGAAAAATTAATAAATATTTTTTAAAAAAAGGAATGATGGGAGTTGTATGTCTGGGAGAGCTACAGGTTCCCTATCCCTGCCATAAAGAAACATCTTTGAGGACCTTTAACTGCTAGGCCCTGGTTCCCATACCACCTTTGCAGTCTCTTTTATGCATATTGCTGCTCATGTGAATGTTTGGCATCACTAGTGTACCCTCAGATTTAAGAGAAGTCTGCAATCCACCTTCCATAGCAGGGAGTCCTGGTTTCAAAGTACAGATTACTAGCAAAAGCTGTCCTGCGATCTTCCATAAGTCCCTTTCTCTAACATTATGGTTTTCACCTCTGTACAATCCCGTCAATATGCAAGAATATCAGAAAGGGTAACACGTGTTGGTGGATCTGGGAGCTTATTAGATACCGGCATCCTTACCTCTGTCAACTCATGGAATGTATAGGCATAATATGGCCTAGCATACACAAAAACAGGCAAAGCATAGTCCTTCCGAGCGATCGAAGCAATGCGTATTGCTTCTTTAACCCGATGGTGTACAAATTTCAAAGCGTTTGGGCTACACTTCAGCATGTATTCCAGGTATATGGAAGGGTAAAGGGCAGTGCTTTCTTTCCACAGCCAAAGCAGATTATCATTCCGGAACGATTCAATGTCTGGACATTTGCCTGTGTACTTGTCTGGGTGGTTCTTGTAATCATAATTGTAGCAGTCTGGGTAGAGATAGTAACCCCAGAGCCCATTTGGCCTCATATCTTCAGCTAGGAAAAGGGTGCTGTTCATAAAACCCCTCCCTGCATTTTCAAAATCTTCCTTCGCAACTTTCTTGATCTTGTTCTCAGGCCACTGAGGATGCTGCTTTCTGACAAGTTCAAGAGACTTATTTCTGTAAATGGCTTTATGGCCCCAGTTTCTATCCCACTGGGGTCTCCAGTTTTCCCAGTCGATGACCCCGAGTCCTTGGAATTTCTTCATGGCGATGGAATGCTCAATGTCAGCCTTGGCTTTGATGAGATGTTTGATGAGGCTCTCGTTCTGCGGCACCCCGCCATTGATGGATTCGCCATTGTCTTCTACATGGGGATAGTACCCGAGATGAGTGTGATAGAATATTGTCACACTGGAGCCGCTCAAGGTCTCGTTTGGGTTTGTCAGGATGTCGAAAACGTTGAGGTCCAAATCGACCTTGTAGCGCCGCCGACACTGCTCAGTAGGTGCATTCCAAACTACTAGAAACGGTTTGTTAGGGAACAGTGGGGCTCTCGCCTGCATGATTTCACTTCCGTTGTCGACCATCAGCAACACCCACAGTGCTAGGTATTCAATCCACAGGTGGCTCATAGTATGAGGTAACTTCATCAAAGGAAAAACTGAAAGAGATAAGAAAGAAATGGTAATGAACAGTGTCAACCAAGAGTCGGGAAGAACTTTGCCCCTCTAAGTGTTGGTGCTGGCCTTTAAAGCCCTAAATGGCCTTGGTCCTGTATACCTGAAGGAGCGTCTCCACCCCCATCGTTCAGCCCGGACACTGAGGTCCAGCCCCGAGGGCCTTCTGGCGGTTCCCTCATTGCGAGAAGTGAGGTTACAGGGAACCAGACAGAGGGCCTTCTCGGTAGTGGCGCCCGCCCTGTGGAACGCCCTCCCTTCAGATGTGAAGGAAATAAGCAGCTATCTTCTTTTTAAAAGACATCTGAAGGCAGCCCTGTTGAGGGAAGTTTTTAATATTTAATGCTGTATTGTTTTTAACACTTGATTGGAAGCCACCCAGAGTGGCTGGGGAAACTCAGCCAGATGGGCGAGGTATAAATAACAAATTATATTATTATTATTATTATTATTATTATTATTATTATCAGGTGGCAGAGGAGCCAACGCCTTGCCATCTGCTTTTATTCAATATTCACAGAGAGAGGCTTGGGAACGTGGCCCCTCAGAATAATGGCATTGCTCTGAGTGAAACCCCACCCCATCCATCTCTCCGACTTCCTCATGAGTCATTGCTGTGGGTGCTGGAAAGCAACTTCGGCCTTTGAGCTCTTTGCTCTACTACTTTCAAGGCCCGCAATGTTTTGGGAGAAGGGGGCGGGTCTGGAATGCTTTCTAAAGACACTGAGTCTGTCAGCTGTCACTCCACTAGTGCTCCTTCCTCTTCCTCTCCCATTATTTCCCAGCTTCCCCCCTCATCTGCCTCTGAGCTGTGACCTCCCTCAAACCCGTGTTGTAATTCTGAACTGTCTCCTTCTTCTCTGGAAGGGTCAGGCTGGGGAGGCGGTCTCCACCATTCCTCCTCTGCCCAGACGCTGACATGAATTGATCAATAGGTGTGGGGAACCTCTGGCCCTGTAGATGTTGCTAAACTACAACTCCCATCACCTCTGGCCATTGCCCATGCTTGATGAGGCTGATGGGAGTTGTAGTTCAGCAACATCTGCAAGGCCAAAGGTTCACCATGCCTGAATTAAAAGTTGTAGACCTGGAAAAATATGTGCAGATTGATCCAATTGTCATCCTATATAAACTTGAAGTTAGTGAAATTAACTAAGTGGTGCATACATTTGAGTAGGCATGCATAGGATTGTAGTGTTAGTCATGATTTGATCCCATTTAAATCAGTGGAGCTTGGGTTAGTCATTACTAAAGTGTTCCATTGGTTTCTCTGGGATAAAGGCTGCAATCCCATATCCACTTTCTTCAGAGTAAGCCCCATTGAACTTGATGGAACTAAGTCTAAGAAGACACACATAGGATTGCACTATAATGTACTTGCCTACTCAGATGTCATGCAAGTTGTGAGCTAACACAAACTTTCTATCAACGCTATCATTCTACTTGCCTAACGTCTCTCCTCTCCTCCTCTTGTGTGCAGGGCATATGTTGGTGGGAGAGAAAGCCCTGTTTCACAAGCAGGACTTGTGGTAGTTCTCAATAGTGCCCCTACTTAGTTGAATCCAGCCCTATATTCCCTTACTCTGAGGTAAATGTGTGCCTTTGTGCGAACCAGTATTTTCACATTAATTTAATCAGTCATTTGATGAAAGTTCAATTCCAAAAACAGAATTGCAATAGAGTTCCCTGCAAGGTTTCCAAACCAATCTTGAATAACATTCTAAAAGCACATCATAAATGGATAAAATAACCATCACTAATCAGCAAATCCCTGCTATGTCGGTTTGATTACTATAAAAACATTAAATAAAACATACATTTCCCCCTCCTACTGGTTCTTATTAGTTTTTTATTATTATTCCTAGCTGTTGAATGTATGTAATACACAACATATTGACAACGTAGAAATTGTTCCAGCAAGTGTTTTACAAGATGAAATTTATCACACAGCAGCAATATCTCAATGCTAAACATTTCCATTGGCTCATCATTTTGCAACATTTTTTGATGTTACTGTCATGCCACCATAATGCCTATATTTGTCATGCTGTGTTATGTGGGTAGAATAGTTCAAATCCCTTCATTCAAAGTGGGTAGATCAATGAATGGAAATTTTGCCTTTGTACAGTAGCCTAGCCAGGGGTGGAGGAAGGGGTGTATGGTAGGGGCGGGCCGCCCCGGGTGTCACCACTGAGGAGGGGGGTGACAAAATGCAGGGTGGCACTCACTGTGGGGCCTGCAGCGCGCCCGAGCCACGCATCTCTCCTGGGAGTGACGCGGTGGCTTGGACGCTCACAGGCTCCACGCTGTGCCAAATGTTCTGCCCGCCGCCTCCCCCTCAGCTGTAGGGCAGCTGAGTGGGAGGAGGCAGGCAGACTCCTTGGAGGCCCCTTACTGGGAAATGACTTCCCCCATCATCTTCCCCCAGCCCCACTGAAGAGCCAAGCCATTTACACTACACTATTGCTTCTGACTCTGTTATATTTTTCATGGCCCGAACACTAACCCTATATGTAGGCAGAGCAGGGACTGCCAAGGAGATAGATTATTTGCTCATCACTTCCTCTGATGCTTCCAACAGGTTTGGTGGTAACCATCCCTGGTCCTTCATTCCTCATCAGATCCTTCTGTGTACTGAAGTTCTGTTCCATTATAATCTCACCATTCTATTTCTCCTTGGTTTCCATGCCTGTTGACATCTTCCAAGAAACGAGAATTTAAGGGTGTTGGTAACGTATTTTTCCGAACCCTCAAACGCAAGAAGGAACCTGGCAGGGGATAATTCCTATAGTTAGGAATTTCACTAGGTACCTCTTAGATTCCCCATTCCTATCATGCACATCCGTCAGCTCCCACAATACACTGTTTTAAGCTACCAGGCCTCTGCATCTCGGGCCAAGTATCTGCCGAATTACTCTACAGTGATGGCACAGCACTGGATTGTGTGGCAACAGTGATAGCAGTGAAGGTGGCAACAACCACCCCCACTGTTCTACCCAGACATTGAGGTCCAGCACCGAGGGCCTTCTAGCGGTTCCCTCACTGTGAGAAGCCAAGTTACAGGGAACCAGGCAGAGGGCCTTCTCAGTAGTGGCACCCACCCTGTGGAACACCCTCCCACCAGATGTCAAAGAGAAAAACAACTACCAGACTTTTAGAAGACATCTGAAGGCAGCCCTCTTTAGGGAAGCTTTAAACATTTGATGCATTACTGTATTTTAATATTTTGTTGAAATCCACTCAGCGTGGCTGGGGAAGCCCAGCCAGATGGGCGGGGTATAAATATATTATTATTATTATTATTTATTATTATTACCACAGCAGCTGGGGTAAAAGAGATGGAGCATGAGGTCAGTTTTATGAACAGTATGCCACATGGAAAACTGAACATATGACCATTCCACACACAGTGTGCTCCCCTTTTCTACCACCCTCCCACATCTACACGATCCCCTCCATTGGATATTAGTGTTGGGAGGGGTGGCCATGTTCATATGCTTGCTCCAGTGAGGCAGGTTGAAAGGCTGGTTCCTTGAACTTCAGCATGGCCTTCCCACATGCCCTAGTTCTCATGTCGCTCCTGTCCATGGGCTCCATTCGCACCCTGGTAGACTGCCTTATGGTGCTGAATATTCAGGTGGCCATATCAGGTTCTCCCCAACAGCCCAAAGCAGTTTCTCCACATCTGGAGGACCCTAGAAATGCTGAGAGTCCTTAAATCTGTCATTTTAGAATGGTGTTATGTGAATCGCCTGGTAGGCGTGGTGTGGGACCTGATAAAGGGGATTGTGAAGAAGCTGTTGGAGCTGCTATTGTTAACTATCCAGGTTTCTTCCTCCATCACCACTTTCTTTCTTTTTAAGCTCTCTTCCCCCACACAGGCAATTGTCCCCAAGCAAGCCTTGAGACCTTCCCTTGGGGAGACCATGGTCCCTACCATCTCCAAAGTTGTGAAGCCACCTGGATGTGCTAATGAAACTGTCTGTTAACGAAGCTTCATGAAATTAGGCTATGAGTAGGCAACCTTTCTATTGCTTTTAATCGATCAGGATTTCCCACGGAAATTGACATTATTACGCCAGCTCAAATCTTCACTGGAGGGCACAGTAAGACTTCAGAAAATGCCATAAAATATTCCATATTCAGTTTCAATAATAATGAGAAATTGTATTGCTGAGATTTTTCCTACAGTTGCGATATGTAAAAAGCACGTTTTGAACCATGCAAAACTGAATTTTAGGGAAATTAATAATCTGTGGTATCCAAATCCCATTATAAATTGCTTATTATTGTGTATTGCTCAAAAAATGGGCACTGGTGTCTTTCATTACTTTTCCTGCTGCTTTTTCTTCTATGGCTATCTTGCATAGTTTTAATCCCAAACTCTGTAATGAGCATAGGCGCTAATGATTCAGTTTGCTACCTCATTATCAGCTTAGTACAGATTCTCCGACATTTCTCAGTCAATACCACATTGTCATGCTTAGTTAAACATCCAAAGGACGCACATCTCTTTCCTAGTCATAGGAGAGTCCCAAAAAGAAAAGCATGCAGAAATTTTTCTGCTCCATATTTTAAACACAAAAAGGTCCCCTGAAAATGAACGAGTTAAAGGTTTGTGTCCAAGCTTGCCGAAACCAATGGGAGCATTTCAAAGGGATCCTTGATTCACAAAATTGACTATAGTCAGCAAATTGATGTGGTCTGCCAAACAATACATCAACTTGCTTTATCTTCCCCTGTCAATTCCTCAGCAAACGATGAGAAAGATTTACTTGGTTTTACTCTCGCAAAGGGAATGGTTTAAATGTATTAAAGAATCGTTTCCTGTCCATGAATGCTTATGCCATAATAAATGTCTTTAAGGTCCCACGTGACACTTGGCTGCATTATTTGAAACGTTTCCTTCCTTCTGGAAACGTGGAAATATTTTTTCAAATACAGCACATAATTACATGTATAAGTAACGTGGATATGAATTTATAGCTTATACACATTCCAATTAACAGTTAATTCATTCTATGAGTTGCCCAGATAATATCACAGGTATTATTAGCCTACTGCTATATTTGGTGTTTTATGCTGAAAATTTTGGTTTGTATTTTTATGGATACGGCTGGTATTCTCACTTTGTGGAGGATATCCAATGTGGTCAGAAGCACCACATTCATGATGGTCGAAGACAACATGAGAAATTTTTCAGTTTCCATTCCCCACCTCTTCTAGGTCTCAGAGGTCAGTTACGGACACTACGCTCGAGTGTCCTCAAAGTCCTGGAGCTGGAAATTGCAGGGGGAACTTGCTCACAAATTCCGCTTTTTAAAAGGGTTTTATCAAAACTCATGTAGAGAAACAAAGAAGCACTCAGCCTGGAATAAAGCATCTCCAAAATGAGCATTTATTTAGCACACATTGATGGACACCTATTCCGTCCAGCAGTAGAGAAAAGTGAGGGATGTATCTTGCCCAAGAATACAGTGGTACCTCGGGTTAAGAATTTAATTCATTCTGGAGGTCTGTTCTTAACCTGAAACTGTTCTTAACCTGAAGCATTACTTTAGCTAATGGGGCCTCCTGCTGCCACTGCGCCACCGCTGCACAATTTCTGTTCTCATCCTGAAGCAAAGTTCTTAACCCGAGGTAATATTTCTGGGTTAGCGGAGTCTGTAACCTGAAGCGTATGTAACTCAAGGTACCACTGTATAGGGAACTAGAAAGATGTTGTTGTTGTTTTAAATCACGTCAAAATTAATTTATCCTTTAAAAGAACTTTGAACTTGTGGGAAGGGAAATCTGGGTCACAGCATTCCATTCATTCAAACTCAGTATAAAGCAGTATAGTTTATGCACATTTAAGGCATTATAACACGATGCCACATCAATATTCTGATGCCGACATATTTTTAAATAAAAGCAATGCTTTTTAAAATATATATATACAGAAAGTGGAAGTTTCAAAACAACAACAACCTTTGCATGGCTGCAGACAAGAGAAATGATGTATCTCACCTCACGTGATGTTACTGACACTAGCCAATAGGTGCCCTGGCCTTACATACATGTCCTTAATCGTAACAGTGGGGCTAGCAAAGGGAAATTGCACTTTACTACCAATGCTTGAGGCATTGGCAGTTGGTGTGGTGGATTTGAGCTGAAGGAAGTCCCCTCCCAATGCTGATGTTGCGACAGCTTACCTGGACAGAGCAAGGGAAAGGCAAGGACAGTGGTGAGGACAGGGCTGCATGAGGGCACCAGCAAGAGTACCATATTGCTTCTCTCAATGCATCCACACAGGTACAATCTCACTGCCACCCTGTCCCACCTCAACCCTGTCCAGGTAAACTCTGCCCCATCACACTGGCTGCTACTGGCTTGGGCACTAAAGACCCTCCCCTTTTAGTGAGACTTCCAAAATGTTCCTCAACCAATTTTTCACCCAGATTTTAGAGGTCCAAATTACCCAGGTTTGCCCACCTCCTGCAGCCGAACAACTGCATTAGGGATTATCTATTGTTTTGTTCTTTATTCCTAAATTATTTACAGTGGTACCTCAAACGCCTTGCTTCCCAAACACCAAAAACCCGGAAGTAAGTGTTCCGGTTTTCGAACGTTTTTCAGAAGCCGAACGTCCGATGCGGCTTTCAGCTATTGTTTCCGGGACGCCTGCACCAATCAGAAGCTGTGCCTTGGTTTTCGTACATTTTGGAAGTCAAGCAGACTTCTGGAACAGATTAAGCTTGGCGCTTTTGTTTTTGCTATTTATTTTGCATTTTTGTTTTTGAGCCTTTTTCAGTTAATTTGTTTTTGTGATGGTGTGGAACTGAGTTCAGCTACTGATTGATTGATTGTGTGATTACAGAAATGGATAAAAGTCCCCCATCTAAACAATGACTATCATCAGTGCAGGTAAGGGTGGAAATTAAATTTTTTATCATCTTTTTAAAAAAATTATCTGTCTTATTTTATAGTACAGTGCTTTGATTATTGCTTTCATTTTTGGATCAATGGTCTCATTGGATAGTAAAATTCATGTTAAATTGCTGTTTTAGGGGTTGTTTTTAAAAGTCTGGAACGGATTAATCCATTTTGCATTATTTTCTATGGGAAAGCGCACCTTGGTTTTGGAATGCTTTGGTTTTGGAACGGACTTCTAGAACGGATTACGTTTGAGAACCAAGGAACCACTGTACAGAGCTTTGTACCTAAGGAGCTTGCCACAGCTTTCAGTTCCTTCCTTCATGTCTTCATCCAATTTGTATGTATGCATTAGGGGGGAAACCGCAAAATGAATGATACCCCAAAAAATACATGCACTACTACATCAAATTCATTGTATTGGTGAACAATGTGAACTGATAAAACACTACAAAAAATGTAAATGTTAATGTGACTGTATCCACAGTAGTATCAAGATTCTTCTCTGTGGCATTTCAATAATGTGCATGGACTGATGTGCACATCTGTAAAATACTGTATAAAAAGAAAATGCATGAAATCATATAAATAAGGCATTGGGAACCTATGGCTTGCCACATATTGTTCCTCCAACTTCCACCAACCCCAGTCAGCATGGCCAATAATCAAGCATAATGGGAGTTGTAGTCCAGCAAAATCTAGATGACTACAGGTTCTCCATCCATGACATAAGTGCATTTTGCATTGTTTTGTAAGTACATAAGAGCACATCAGTAACACTGAAAAAGACACAATGAACTGAAGAAACTGAGAGCTACCTTAAATGGCTGCATTTTCAATTCTGCAACTAATTGTGGAAGTTCTCTGAGGTAAACTGGTGCCCAGGAGGAACGGAACACTGGGTATAATGGAATGGAATCGAACTTGGAGTTCCTTGGGCAAAATGGAGGCACAATAAAGAAACAGAATATGGTCACTCCTGATATCCTTAGTCCTTGGTGGTATAACCTGGAGAGAAGAGACCTTTATCCCCCTGAAAATAAAATCAGGAGAGGTGCACTTCATCTCACTAAAAAGCAAAGATCATTTGAACCATTCAAGTTTTTACAACCTGCTTCTACAAGAATCTACAACCATTTAGCCTGGGTTTCAAGAAAATCACCCTATCTTACAGATGCTTAGTCAAAAGTAAGCCCCACTAAATTTTGTAGGTTCAACTCACATTAGTTAGTGGGACACTGAGCTTATATTTATGGTTGAAGACATGAAGCACCATCTACAAAGAATATATATTTGCCAAGGCGCCAATACTTGGGACTACTGAAGAACACAATTCCCCATTCATTTCAGTGAGGTTTGTACCTGAGATGTTCACAGCACATCTTGCCTGCTCATTTAAATGATCCTTTCATTCATATTGTAAGTATTCAGGATCCAACCAAGTAGTCATTTTGCTTTGTCATTTAATGAATGACTCCCCTACCCACATCCCGTTTGAATCTAGATTTACAGCAAATTCTGATCTTTCCCTGAATATCTGATAAGTAGGAAGTTTCAACGACCTTTTGAAATCAGTGCATGCTACGTCATTTTTAAACCCAGACCCAATTATTAATGCTTCAGCCGTAATATTAAAAATCCTAGAAACATATATCTAAAATTCAAAATCTTTGAACATTATCAAATTAGATAATCCTAACCCTATGCCTCTAATTCAGAGCACTGTGGGGTGTACTTATATCTTCAAATTTAAATTAGAAACAACTGGCATTATTTAGCACTGAAGTTTATGTCCAGTGAGGTTTCCTTCAATTTTTATAATCCACATTTTTTAATTTATTTGCAAACATTTCTATGCTGACAATATAAAAAAAATATTTCATGGCACACACTTTTTAAAAAAAATCCATATTATGAGATAAGGTATTAGACAAATCAGTAGAATCATATACTAGCAAAGCTGGGCTTGCAGTCAAATTGTAAGGCTGGGGGTGAAATTCTATTAATAAATAGGAGTTTTCAGGAGTTTAAAGCCATTAGCCTCTAAGCACACCCAAAAACCCTGTGCTGTTTATACATATTTATTGACGAAGACAGTGGTACTTACGTCTAGAGAGCCAATCAGGAGAAGAAAACTTGGCAGAACGACATACACTAGCTGCTGCATTTTATATTAAAGCCTCGTCGTCCTCCTATTGGGCATGCTGTTAACTAATGAGATACTAACACGATCTGGAGAGGATGGGGCAAGTTCATCTACTAGGCCTTGAATAATTGCACAAAATGCAAGATTGTTCTGTTCCAATTAGCACGGTCCTTGTTGTTGCTGTTTTCAAATGCTGAACCGTATAATGAAGAAGAGAGCGCTGGAACACAGCAGATTGGCTAAAGAATGGAAATCAAAGTCATGTGTTTCCCACTTTCAGAGGTAAGTTCAGCATCACCAGGCACCAGAAGGAGTAGAGGGAGAGTTCTTGTTTCCTTCTTCCCTCCCACCTACACTAGGGGCCAAAATTGTGGAAACCTTTTGGAAAAAGTATTTCTGAGGTTTGATGACTCATAACACCACTTTTGGGGGGAGTAACAGCACAAAGTGCAAGTAGATAAATAGGTACCACTCCGGCAGGAAGGTAAACAGCATTTCCATGCGCTGCTCTGGTTCTCCAGAAGTGGCTTAGTCATGCTGGCCACATGACCCGGAAGCTGTACGCCGGCTCCCTCGGCCAGTAAAGCTAGATGAGCACCGCAACCCCAGAGTCATCTACGACTGGACCTAATAGCCTGGGGTCCCTTTACCTTTACCTTTTACCATAAAATTTTATATCAATGGAAAGACAATTTAATGAATGTAATGCAATAACCTTTATGAAGGATTATTTATTACGACAGCAGACTAAAGAAACTTGTTAGAAGCAACCCAGCAATAAAACCCAATTAACAGAGGCAATAATTCAATCTTGGTTTCACATTATTACAGCTGCAGAACTAAAAAACTTGGTTCACTCCTTGGGAAGGTGTTGTAAGGCCATCATTAAAGCTACAGGTTACCCAACTAAGTATTAACTGTCATGGTGAGAATTTCTGTATACGTCATTTTTTCTGTGTGTTGCATGTTTATTCTTTAGGACTGTTGTTGTCATAAATAATCAAAGTTATTGCATTACATTCTTCATTAAATCATCTTTCCATTGATATGTAATTTTATGGTATTACTCCAAAAAAAGTGGTGTTATGAGCCATCAAACCTCAGAAATACACTTTTTCCAAAAGGTTTCCACAATTTTGACCACTAGCGTAACAGCTGCTATCAAGACAACAGCCACCATCATGAAACTGGCCTTCACAGTATGCCAAGGCCAACATTGGCAGACACAGGGGCTGGGAGACTAGGAGAGAGGACTTACCATCCTTGCCGTTCTGCAGCCCATCTAGTCCAGATTTCTCTTCTCGTGGTGGCCAACCAGATGTCTATGGGAATCTCTTGAGAAGGACCTGAGCGCAACAGCATTCTCCTCACTTGTAACTCCCAGTAACTAAGTGGAATTCAGAGGCACGCTGTCTCCAACTGTGGAGGGAGAACAAGGCTAGTAGACACCAATACAGTTATACCTCGGAAGTAGAATGGAATCCATTCCGGAAGTCCGTTCAACTTCCAAAACGTTTGGAAACCAAGGCACAGCTTCCGATTGCTGCAGGAAGCTCCTGCAGCCAATCAGAAGCCACAGAAGCCGTGTCAGACATTCAGGTTCCAAAGAATGTTCACAAACCGGAACACTCACTTCTGGGTTTGCGACGTTCAGGAGCCAAAACGTTCGACTCACAAGGCGTTCAGGATCCAAGTTACAACTGTAGTCTTATTCTCCATTACTTTATCTAGGAACTACAGGTCCCATGTGGCATTGTCCGAGCACATCAATGCCTAAGTGACATTATGGGAATGAGCCTGCTGATGTGCCCCATTTTTTTAAAAAAATATCCAGTTTAGAACTCTAGCACGTTATTACATTTCCTTTCAATTTTTAGCTTGTCTTGAAAGTTTTATTTATCATACATGACACTTTTATTTATTTTATGTAATCAATGGATAGGATGGATCTACACGGGGGGGCGCTATAAATAAGGCATAAATTACATTTTTATAAGAAAAGAAAAAAACGCTATGTAAAATGGCATAGGAAAGTTTTGTGCTCTACAGCGCCCTCTGGTGTTGCATGTTTATAACACATTTAAAACGCTGTTTTTGGACTAATGTAGCTGAGGCCATAGACCACCTGCTTTATTTCAAAATGGGTTGTAATTAAGAGGGCCAAAACTCTAAAGCATACATTAAAGCACAACACAGACCTACAAATAACAAATATCCAAACTATTAGAATATTAAAGCACTCAAAAGAACTTTAAAAACACTGTAAATCCTGAGCAACACGAGGCAACAATTAACAGTTGGGAAATGCCTGGTCCAAAAGAAGAAGCATTTTTCATAAGTTTCTGAAACCCAGAAAGATTGCAGGATTGAGCAGAGAGGAGCTGGAGGTCTCCATTCAAGGAAAGTGTACGGAATTAATGGACCTAACTTAGTAGTGTTTTCATTAATTGCAATGAGTAAAACTTTGTACCAAGAATCATTCCACCCTTTTAAAAAAATACACCTGAATGATATTCCAGCTGCACAAAAAACAAAACAAACAAATGTGCACATAAAACTAGAATGTGTAAAGAATGCCTGTTTTGTCCTTTATACATTGTTGTTCTTGTTACACTTGAAATGTTCTTTCTTACCTGAAAAAAAATGACATAGAAACAATTATTTTAAAAATGAATAAATATGTCACCACCATTTTAATACTTCATTCACAAACCATGAAATGGGAGAGGCTTTTGACATTTTTCAGGGGACAAACTTGGCGTGAACGCCAAAATAATGATTCAAGGGTGTCTTATGAACGCTCCTCTGGGACTCCACCTGCAACTGCTATTTTTTCCCCAGAAGTCACGTGGGAATGGCATTCCATGAGCACATAGCGACATTCTCAGGACGTGTGTGTGTGTGTGTGTGTGTGTGTGTAAATGTGGGCCATGAGATGGTCTGAGGGCACCTTTGAATGCCACTCAACCCAAATTGGAAGTGGAAAGTTCCCACAGATGGAAAAATATATACTAATAAAGCTGTATTCGACGGATGAAAGTATATGATGTTTGACATAATTGAGAATTATGGACTCAAGGACGGAGAATTATAAATGTAATGGTTCTAGGGATTGCTCGTGCGTAAGCCGGTGCAAACACCTGGCTGGATTGCCTGAGTGAACCTTTTCTGTCCGGACAGCCACTCACCCGTGGCTGTCTCAATCGCTGGCAGAATCCGTCAGTGGGCGTTTCTTAAACTTCTTCCAGCAAAGAAGCTCTTTGACGCCTAGTCTCCTCCTACTCTCTCTGCGCGGAAGCCTTCTGCACAAGGAGGGCATAGGCAGCGGAGGACCTCTACTCTCCCCACTGGTCCCTGGCAAGGAGTCATGGGACCGCCTCGCCGCTTCCCCCATCTGCCCCCCTTCTCCACTGGTGCTACGCTGATTCTCTTCCCCAGAAGATGGGCTGCCTCTCCCAATCCCGGGACGCTGTCCGGAATCCCTCTGGATTTTGCTCTCTCCCTCCGGCACTGATGGCAGTTCCCTGACAATAAAGCATCAAAATCGAGATGTGGAAAATATGGAGACAACGAGGAGAGGCAGGACTGAGATGTGGAGATATGCTTCAGAGATCCAGACCATGGGGAGCTCCAAAAAATTAAAAAAATTGGACTATAATTTGGTCTTTTTATTTTAGTTTTTTATTTTAATTGGAGTATTATGATTGGATATATTAATTTGATGTTTTTTATTGGAAAATCAATAAAAATGATTTTTTTAAAAAAAAGGAATTGGAAAGTTCCCCTAGAAATTTAGGACACCTAAGTCAAAACTATTTTACAGCTGCCATGCTCCATGTTATAAAAAAAGGCTTGTGACTACTAAAGTAGCTTAAATAGATTCTAAATTGACGAAAACACCTAAATACACAAACATGTTTTGCTATGGAGTTAAACCATTAGGACCAGAGTGACTGTGGCATTGCAGTCAGATGGGTGGCATATACTACACCACCACCACCACCATCATCATCATCATCATCATCATTTTTCAGATCCAGGGTCCAAATTTGGCACGCCAGTCCTCTCTGTCCAGCCCTCCCGACTCTCCATAGGTCACATCCTCACTGACTGAGTTGTGCGCCCTCAAGTGCTTTTGTCTGTATGTGATCATTCATCTTCTTGGGATAGGGGAAGGAGAGATATGCCTGCATGTAGAAACATCTGGCTTTGCAGGGCCAGGATGCAACCCATGATACGAAGGTGCAGATTACATTCATTGCCCTACTCACCTTTACCTCAGGCTCCACCCGGGTGGCGCTGTGGGTTAAACCACAGAGCCTAGGGCTTGCCGATCAGAAGGTCGCGGTTCGAATCCCCGCGACGGAGTGAGCTCCCGTTGCTCCGTCCCTGCTCCTGCCAGCCTAGCAGTTCGAAAGCATGTCAAAGTACAAGTAGATAAATAGGTACTGCTCTGGCAGGAAGGTAAACGGCGTTTCCATGCGCTGCTCTGGTTTGCCAGAAGCGGCTTAGTCATGCTGGCCACATGACCTGGAAGCTGTACGCCAGCTCCCTCGGCCAATAAAGCGAGATGAGCGCCGCAACCCCAGAGTCAGCCACGACTGGACCTAATGCTCAGGGGTCCCTTTACCTTTACCTTATGCCCATCACTGGAATGCGGCCCTTGTAAGATTTCCCATGGGGGAATGTGGCCCTCGGGCTGAAAAGGGGGTTCTCCACTCCTGCTTTGGAGAGCAATTTTCAGTTTGCAAAAACATTTGAAAGAGTACGGTCAATTCCAGTGTTTGGCCTCACATTTAGATGCGTAGCATGTGTTTTTTTCAGGAATACAATGAGGCAATCATTGTAGTTTAAATTTTAATTGTAGCTAAGCTAAATGAAGTGCACTGAGTCATTTAAACTATCATAGAATATGCAATTAGATTTTCCACAACAGACAGGAATCCTGTCTTTTCCACATAGGAAAGGAATGTTGCTTGGTAAGATTCCTGTTAAGACTGGGTTGGCTGTTTTGACAGCGCGGCCAGATTAAAGTACAGACAACACTCTATATAGGCAATGTTCCTTGCAACAGAAAAGCTCGGGTGGATTAATAAAAGGGATCGTCTCAGGGATGAAGCAGTTTCATACCTGTCAGTCTATGGTCATGACAATAATAATAATAATAATAATAATAATAATAATAATAATAATTTATTATTTATACCCCGCCCATCTGGCTGGGTTTCCCCAGCCACTCTGGGCGGCTTCCAAAAGAATATTAAAATACTGTGATACATCAAACATTAAAAGCTTCCCTAAAAAGGGCTGCCTTCAGATGTTATGTAATAGTATCAGTGGTTTCAAATTTCAGTGGTACCTCCCTATGCCCTTTTTATTCAGTGTGAGGTAAAAAGATAACACTATCAGAATGGAAAAATCTGTCCATTTCAGTCCTCTAAGTTTCACATTTTCTTCCAGACTTAAATTCAGATCTCCACAGTGTGCAATAAATAAATAAAAATCCCTCTGAAAATCAGCATTTTGCTGTATTTCTCCTAACAAACACATTTTGTTTGCAGTTTTGACTAGTATACCAAGCAATTTCCCTGAATATAATGCATTTCGGTATGTTATTTTTCACTGTGCATTTTTGGGCATATTGTTGTACACCTGCGTCACAAAATTCAGAGAAGTGCGAATTTCCATTCGCATATTCATTCAAGAAGTATACATCAGGTAGTTTCTCATTTAAATGCAAAAAAGAGAGAAAATCTTCTCCATCCTTATTTATGAATGATGTATTATACACATTATTCATAAACATTATATTCAGATGACAGAATAATCATGCTTATCCACCCTCATACTAATATCCGATTGCTGATAAGAACAAAATTATTCACTTCCCTAAATACCAAGGAGTGTCCTTATGCTCTAACAATCTTCAGTGCCAAGTCAACCACAAGGAGGATTCCAAACAATACAAAGCTGGTTGCAAAATATGATAAACATCAGTCTTGAAGGAAATGAAGCAGCCCTGTTTAGGGAAGTTTTTAATGTTTGATGTTTTATTGTGTTTTTCATATATTCTGTTGGGAGCCGCCCTGAGTGGTTGGGGAAACCCAGCCAGATGGGCGGGGTATAAATAATAAATTATTTTTATAATTATTATAAATGTTCTCTTCAGTTTGGAGAGCAAAAATGTATTGTGAGTGAGGCTTCCCCTAATTGTGTGAGGTTCCACATGATGACTGACGTGTTCAAATCAGAGGCAGGAGTGGTAACAGCAAAACTGAAACAACATCAGTGGTTTTGACTCAGCCCTGCTTCTTACAAAATGGTGGCCATCTTGTATCTTTCGCCTGGGAAGCCTGACATCACACACATATTTCTACTTTTTGTTTTAGAATGTTGTTTGCCTACAATCAACGCTGGATTTGTGGCAGTATGGGCAGTTTCCCCGCACAGGGCACAAAGGTTGTTCTCCATTTTGGGGCTAACAAATCACGGGCCGCAGTAGTGGCATACATAAATAACCATTTTTGACACCTGGGAATTTCAGTCTGAATTATCCCCAACAGAAAGGACTCTGGTTTTTCTGGGAAAGTACTTTTAAACATTTTTTTTTTCCATTTCATTATGGATCATTTATTTAAAAATGTGGGGGGGGGGAGATGTTTGAATTCGGGTCTCCCCAGTCCAAGTCCAGCCCACTCTAACCACGTTATCCAATTGGTTTTAATGCTAGCATCAACAAATGGGTGTCAGCAACAGAGCTAGCCCAAGACATATTGTTTCCTGAGGTAAAGAAACAAGATGGCAGCACCACCCCATTCCACATACAGAAACCAACTGGACTGAACATTTAATCTTATTTCAATACTGACGATGGTGCAGCAACACCTGAAGGAAACGCAGGGCAGGCTGCAGAGCACACACAGTTCTGGCCTCAAGCAGTTGAGGAAGTGGGGGCTGCCATCACTGCTCCTCTACTATATGCCTCCTGAGGCAGTTAACTCACTCTGCTTCATCATAGGGTCGGCCCTGTTCACATTCAGATGTGCCCATCCTCATCCGATGACATTTTAAAGTAATCATCAACGCCTTTAAGTAATTTTTTAAGGCCACAATCCTATATCCACTTGCCTGGGGCTAAACACTATTGAGTTGAATGGACATGCGTAGGCTTGCAAAGTTAATGCCCAATAAAATTCAAAAGGGGAACCCATTAGATCAGGGGTCAGCAAGGTTTATCTTGCCTGGACCAGATCGGTCCCGCAGAGTGGGCCGGATCATGAGTGCTTGAGTGCGTGCGCGATTTTTGACATCTGTGCATGCACAGACGAGATTTTCGGTACCGCGGAAGCGAGTCCCTGCGCTGCGCTGTGCCGGTTTAGCGCAATGTGTGAGTGGGCAGCTCAGTTCAGGGCCAGTCATACGACCTCCGCGGGCCGCTTCCGGCCCATGGGCCTTAGGTTGCTGACCCCTGCATTAGATTTATTAATGTAACTGGGGAAAGAGAACATAATACATATGTTTGGGGAATACTTGCTTTGGTCAAGCAAATGGGTGAGAAAATCACCGTATTGGCCTGAATATAAGCCTCACTTTCCCCCCAAATTCCGACCGTGAAGAGTTAAAGTGCAGCTTATATTTGCAACCTTACGGTACGCAGCCAGGAGCACAGGGCAAACAGCACCAGGAGTGAAGCAAAGAGGCACCCGCCCCACGTGTAGTCCCCCATCCTTTCCCCCCAAAAACCGGGAAGGGAGAGAGGGAGGAAGGGGGAAAGCCACCAGCAAGGCAGCGTCCGTCCGTCCCCAGTATGCAGTCAGGAGCAGCGAGGAATGGAGTGGCTTATATTCGGATATTTTTTCTCTCCCCCCCCCTCCAATTTTAAAGGTGTGGCTTATATTAGGGTGCAGCTTATATTCAGGCCAATACGGTTCCTGAAATTTGTTGACAATCATTGCCCATGTTGTGTTTTAATTGTTGCAGACGACATCACTTAAATCTTCTTATTGTCTTTTGACGTTTTAAACAGGCTTAAAATAGTTTATAGCTCTCAGAATAGACCTTTCCAGAGGGGCTGCATTCATTAAGATACCATTTTGCTTGTTTTTTCAGACTATGCCTGCATTTTAAATCGAGGAAGTGGCACCATCTGCTGGATGATAATGAAAGCTTTGTTCCTCTTTTTGGAAAAAGCCAGTCATTGTACTTTTCTTCACCCATTTCTCGACTTCAAGGCGGTTGAGAGTTCAAAGAAATGAGAACCATTCAAACTTCAGCCTAAAAAAAACAATTATCTTAGGCTCTGCTGTGTAGCAGCACAAAATTCATTGTATCACTAGGCATGAAATTCAATTCAATTTGCATTAAAAGGCAAATTTACCTATGTTGCTCTTTCTGAAACTATATGTGAACTGAAGCACAGCCATTCTTCAAAAATTTGCACTTCTCCGAATTTTGCAATGCACTTTTCCAGTCAACTAACGTGCACAAAAATGCATATACTGGGTGGTGTGTGTGAAAACTGATATGCTAGTGAAAATAACATACAAAAACGCATTATATGAGGGGAAATTGCTTTGCAAAAATGCAGGTGTTAGGCAGAATTGCACACAAAACTATGTGTATTAGAAGAAATTTGCGCTAAAAATGCTTGCAAATTTTCAAACCTGGTTCTAGCCCTGAAGGAGGGACATGTCTTCCTTCCTGCAACAATGCAGAACAGAGGAAATGGGCTTATGCTAAACTGTGCCTATGTGGGTAGTAAACTGATATCATAGCACCAGCAGTTTCAAAGCGTTTTGTGGTCCTTCTGTCCTTCTGTTAATATCCTCGCAAAGTGGTTGTTAAAAGTTAAGGCGCATTTGCCATGATAAACTTGTAGAAAATGAGTCAATGCTCTGATTTATGGCTGCTTTCCGGAGAATGCTTGTGATGTGATCCCGTCTACTCAGGGGTGAAACCTGCTAGACGTTCTCAAAAGTGAACATAGAACTACAGCTTCAAAGACTAACTGCATGTTGCACACAAACATCCATTCTCCTCCTCTTCTTCTTCTTCTTCTTCTTCTTCTTCTTCTTCAAAAGAAGTTTTGAGAAGGCAGATTTTGGAGCAGAGCAGTGGTGCTTAACTCTTTCTCCACCTGCTCATTCTTCACCCCCAAATTCTCTCTTTCCCTCCTACTGCTTTGCCTCCTTCTTGACACGCAGAAAAGATAAGCTGCATGGTCTGGCGCCCATAACCAAAATGTCGGTGCCTCCATACGACCGAGCTGTAATGGCTACTCCTCCGGCTGTATCTTCAGAACCCCATCCAAGCTCTCCTCCGATGGTGATTAACAACCTAAGCCTTTGAATGAGACTTCAGGCACGCTCTCCATTGCGCAGAGTACTCAGACAGCAGCAGAAGGAGCCAGAAATATGTGCTACATTGCTACTTTATTTCTAACTATACCAGACAGAAAAGAATATGCGTCTGCTCTCTGTGAGAGACAGAAAACAACAGAGCAAAGAAACAGGAAACCAGTAACTTCAACATCCATCTCCCGTGAGACTTCCAACAGTCTGGAATGTCAACAGAGTCTTGTAACTCCAAGAACTGCACAGTGGCATAACAGAAACCTAACATAATGTGCCCAAGGCATTGTATGAAGTCAGACCCATTAGCAGGGCCCGCCCCAAAGGCGGGTTGAAGCAGCAGCCTTGGGTGGTGGAATTCCATGGGGCAGCACCCCCTGTAGGCACTCCAACACTCCCACCACAGGGGTTGCACACCTGTAGCCGCAGTTTTCAGCAAGATCTTGTGAGATCTCGATGAACTTTTGCAAGATCTCACCAGAAACTGCTCTCTTGCTTGCTAGATTTCTAATTGCTTTCTAATTTAGGGATGGGCACACCCCTCAATTAATCCAGGTAGGGTACCAACGCTTCAAGTTGTGCTTTGATGTGCTTATTGACGCCCTCTGACACCACCCGAGCTTATGAGCAACTCAATCTTTCCTAGTGCCAAAGAAGAGTCGAAACAGACGGATGCGATTGAAGTATTTCTTGCCCAACCGCAAATATGAAGTAAGAGGAAACCTTCCACAAAACCCTTTCTCATATTGTTTCCTGTCTGCGCTTGTCCTGAAAGAGGTCCGAGTTAGTCAGAAAATGATGAGTTTAAGAAGCATCTTCTGTGGAGTTTCTGTTCTGCTTAAATATTAAGTACTGGAAAGTACAGTTGAAAGGTAGTTATTTTAAGGGGGGGTGGAGATTCCCACCCTCTTTAAAATGCATGTTCCCCACTTCCACTTCTGCTTTGGTCACTTCCAGAGGACCTGTCTGTTTGCATCAATCTCGATTTGTTTGCAGGCAGGTTATATGATTCAGTCCATTTTCTTATCTCTCACTGCAAAAAAGAAGAAGAAGAAGTACAGATGGGTGGGAACAGGTATATTGCACAAGAGCATCAAATCAACTTTTATTGCGATACCTGAATTTCCCTTATGTGATTTAACCCCACCTAAAAATGGTTATAGCTTGGAACTGCCCCTATGATTTAACACTAAAGTTCTTTGAAAATTGTCTCTTGTGGCCCCTCACTGATACCTATGTCTTTGCATCAGAAGTGGCTTGCTGGGTGGATGAATCACTGTTGCTTACTGGGTGGGAAAGGGTAAGGCAGCAAGGAGGTCAGTGTGGGGCAAATGCGCCAGCAGAGCCAATGTGTTTGCACTATGCTGACCTCCCCACTGCCTCACAGTAAGCAACAGCGACCCACTTGCCATGATGCTAGTGTAGCAGCTGTGCCCCAGCCAGCAAGCCGTTTTGTAGTCTCAGTATCTCATCAATCATTAGAATTAAACAGAGGTGGGAGGGAGGAATTTGAGGTTCAATGTGTATTTTTTTGAGACAATTGCATTTGATTTTTGAGCTTAAGAAAATGCCCCTGAATCATGGGAAGATCAGGTGTGCTGTAAACATACAGCAAACATCATGATCTACCAGTAGATCCCCAGCTGATCCTGGTAGATCACGGGATCCTTATTGAGTACAAAAAGTTATGGGGGGAAAGCTGAAAAAAACTCTGTGCAATCCTCCCCAAAAAAGCTCAACAATAAATAATAATAATAATAATAATAATAATAATAATAATAATATAAAATTTTATTTATATCCCGCCCTCCCCAGCCAAAGCCGGGCTCAGAGCAGCTAACAACAGTAAAATAATATAGCATTCTAAAATCAATTCATTATAAAAATCAGTTCAGATCAAATTAATGGCAACCATTGGGCTAGAGTTCTGTGAAGAACAACTCTGGGGGCACTTCTTCCCTCTGAAAAAAAACCTCAGCAATTCTGGGCAATCTACCCATCCCATGCACGCTCCTCCTCCCTCCAATGACAAAGGGTAGATCACTGCCAGTTTTTTTTATACTGAGAGTAGATCACAGTCTCTTGGGAGTTGGATACACCTGACATACAGGATGGAATTCAACATAGCACTAGGCCAGTGATGGCCAAACTTGGCCCTCCAGCTGTTTTGGGACTACAACTCCCATCATCCCTAGCTGACAGGACCAGTGGTCAGGGATGATGGGAGTTGTAGTCCCAAAACAGCTGGAGGGCCAAGTTTGGCCGTCACTGCCCTAGGCATATCGTTTCACCAGTGCAAGCTTTTATTAGCACAATCTATGGAATGATCCTGATGAGAATAAAAAGCAGCATCCTGCACAACTCCAGATGTTGCCGGACTCCAGTCAGCCTCTTCCAGCATGGCCGATGGTCAGGGATGATGGAAATTGTAATCCAACAACTTCTGAAGGGTCAGTTTCCACATCCCTAGAGGACGACTGCTTCCAAGCTGATCCACACAGTTCTCAGAGGCTAGTATGGACCAGACTGAAGCACTTTACACAGCTGAACTGAGAGGGCTGAAAGCACACAAAACAGCCCATGCTCTCAATTAGAGATATAATAATAATAATATTATAATAATTTATTATTTATACTTCTCCAGCCACTCTGGGCGGCTTCCAACACAATATTAAAATACAGTAATGCATCAAACATTAAAAACTTCCCTAAACAGGGCTGCCTTCAGATGTCTTCTAAAAGTCTGGTAGTTGTTCTCTTTGACATCTGGTGGGAGGGCGTTCCACAGGGCGGGCGCCACTACCGAGAAGGCCCTCTGCCTGGTTCCCTGTAACTTGGCTTCTCGCAGTGAGGGAACCGCCAGAAGGCCCTCGGCGCTGGACCTCAGTGTCTGGGTTGAACAATGTGGGTGGAGATGCTCCTTCAGATATGTTGGCACAGACTAGTTGCTTGATTCAACCCTTTCCAAAATGTGACTTAAGTGGAACTATAGGGGCCATGGAAAAGTATTCCCCAAATAACACTGCAGGCAGTCTCAATGTGTGCCGCATTCCTGGTGGAGCCCATAAACAAAATGACTCATAAACAGAAAACAAGTCAAGCAGACTAGTCCACCCTACCCAATCTCAAAGGGAAGAAATTATTAATGCTCTTTTTTATCACCCCCATTCAATAACTCTTAGGAGACTTTTTGACTGAATCACACAATTTGGCAGTGCTGTTTTTCAGGAAAAAGAGGTGCCAGAACTCACCACGAACACCTCCCTTGGTCTCTTATAATTTCAATGGCACCCACCAGAGAGGTGCCAGAACTGAGTTCTGGTGAGTTCTGGCTGAAAAAAAGCCCTACAATTCAGTAACATACTATGGAATCACTGATTTCTCTACAACCAATAATGTCCAATTGTTAGTATTTTAGTCTCCTCTCAATTCCTTCCATGTGGCAAATGTGTGCTATTTTTATTACTGCATCTGCCAAAGAGCAGAAAATCCTAAAGGAGAAACACAACCATGACATAGCGCCTAAAGACAGCCCAAACATCACATTGCAAAATTAGATGGCTCACATGCTAAGATGACCTCATGCTCTCATTAAAATAGCAGCATTGTCATGCAGAGGTTGAGATACATTGACTAGGGAAGCAAAATGCCCAAACGATATAGTAATTGAATGGGGAGCAAATGATCACTTAGTGCAGTGCTTTCCAAACTTGGGTCTCCAGCTGTTTTTAGACTACAACTCCCATCATCCCTAGCTACTAGGACCAGTGGTCAGGGTTGATGGGAATTGTAGTCCAAAAACAGCTGGAGACTCAAGTTTGGAAAGCACTGTGTTAGTGGCTCTTTCTGTAAAGATGCTATTGCCTGTAATGATTTAGAATAAATTGAG